TATTGATGAATGTGTGGTTGAAAAGTAGTAGAAGAATGAGAATGAAAAAAAGAATGGTTACCAAACGGTGCCTATATGTTCAAAATTACTACTCTTTTCACCTCCTTTAATGATGAACCGTAATGCTATTGATCCAAAAAAATTGGTCTGAGAGGTGCATTCTATTTGATGATGAAACCATTTCTCTCATTTTACCTTTTCTTTTCGTCTCTTATATTTTCTATTACCAAGTTGGAGATCGACTTCTGGGTCAGCAGCTTCTTACCTCTCTCTCGAAATTTCTGTTGCATGGTGGGGAATTCCCTCGAATAAGATTGAAGAAAAATGGATTCATAATTTGGTTATGTTTATTGATCAGATTCAACGCAATTGTGCATATATAGCTGTTTGATGCTAACTAGAATAAACACCTAACACTTCTTGACTCCAACGTTTAAACTTTTAAATTAATTTGTAGTAGGAGTATCTTGTAATCATTCATGCTATCAATCTTTTTGGGAGCATTTCATTTCTAGAGTTCAATAATTTAATAAACAAGTTCATGATCCCTTTTAGTTCAATTGACTAAGTTATATGATGACCTCAAGCATAATCAATGAAGGCAAATTTTCATTTTCAACTATCTATGTATTGAGTTATTTGATAAAGTATATTGTACTGTATTATCGAGTTCATAGCCAATATTTTCGTAACAATGGCAATACATCTTGCCAATGTTCATGTACACTATCTAGAGTTAGTGATGTCAACAAGCCGAGCCGAGAACGATCCGAAAAAAAAAGCTCGAGTCGNGCTCGAGTCGAGCCCGACCAAAAAAAATGAGGCTCGGCCCGAGCTTTTGGCCCGAGCCTTAGCGGGCCGAGTCGGCTCGAATATTTTGGTTTTTTTGTACTTAGCGAGGCAGCTTGCTAGCTGCCTGCAGCCAAGCAGTTGCTGCATTTTTTTTTTTTTTTTAATTAATAGGAGGCTCGCCCAGGCCACTGGCCGGCCTAGGCTTGAGCTGACTCCCCAAAGTGGGGCTTGGTTCCATCGAGCCGGGCTCTAGCCTTCGAGCTTTTTTGCCACCGCTGTCTAGAGTTGAATGACCCATTGTCATCTCCTTTTTTAGGGTTTTATCTATTGGAATGTTGGTGATTGCTGAATATTGGTTTCGTGAGGTAATCTACAATAAATATCCACTGTTTCAGTGGAAGATCTCTTCTGCACCAAAAATAATTTTGTCATGGATGTATTTGTTAAAATTTTGAACTAGATAGTTCAATGTATGAGAATCGAGAAACGCGAGGAGTTCAAGTCTCCCCGTCTCTCATTCAAGAAAATAGTGCTAGTAATAAGCATCTAATGAATTTAGAGCTTGTTTGGTAGATATTAAAATCGGATTAAAATTAAAAAATTAGCCGTTATTGTTGAATTTTATTAGACGAGTGAGATTTAGTAACGGTTATATTTTCAATTTTAATTGGATTAAAATTCCTCTCAAACAAGCTCTTAAAAAAACTGTATTTACCATGTATGATATATTCCAAATATGACTCATTAAACTCCTATTTGGTTGGACAAAAAATATTGATAAAAATTTAAATCAAAGTCAACAATTTAACTTTAATTGCTTACTGAAGTTTAATACTTTTATCAACTTTTTATCAAAATATACTAAAAATTTGATTTTTAAAGAAGGAAACAGGGACTAAATTGTCTTTCAATAACACTAAGCAAAAAATAAAATTATGCTTATATCTTATAAAATGCATCATTAAGCATGTCTATATAATAAACATGCCTGTGAATTCTACAAAATGTGTGGATAAAAAGTGATTTTATCAAAAATGATCCAAGTATTATAAACAACTTGTTGAACATGCTCTAATTTTTTACGTTTTAAACAATCAAGAACCTATCTTCTAGCATATATTGTATTTTGAAAGTTGCGTATAGAATACAATTCTATTGCATTGTATAACTTAGGCTGGCATTTGATATCCCTTATTTTCCTCGGTTCATTTTCCAAGAAATGTCATGTTTGATAGGCTTATTTTCTTGGAGATTTGTTTTCCACCTCACTCCACGTGCACCATTTCTTTGGAATTGAGGAAAAAAAGCCTTTTTCAGGCCGCCATCCAATTTATTTTATTTAATTTTTTTTGGCAATGGAAACAAATTTCATAATCAATTGTAAAAAAAAAAAAAATTTACTTTAATGAACAATTTTGATGCAAACAAATACTAAACTTTGATAAAAAAATGATATTTTAGGAAAAAAATTTCGTTTTTTTTATTTACTTTTTGGCAATGGAAACAAATTTTTATAACCAATCGTGAAAAAAATTATCACTTTAATGGACAATTTTCATGTAAAACAAAGTCAAATGAACACAAAATTTAAAAATTTTTGGGATGAAAAATTAGATCAATCAAGCACACTTAATTTTCCTGCAAAACAATTTTTAGGCAATTAATTTCTCTGAAATTCATTTTCTTTTCATCCATTTTTCACCATTGCAATCAAATGGACCCAAGATCTTACAGGTATTTTAAAATAAGGAATTCGATGAAATGAAAAGATTGGTTGCTCTCAATTAAACATCCAAATTCTTAGAACAACATGTCTTTGAAGCTTAGCTTTTTGACAACAAGAACTAGGTGATCATGATTTTCGTATTCTCACGCTTCCATACATAATACTCTACGTAAAAGTCTCGTAACTCGTAATTTAAAGTGGACTCCAGTAACTCTTTACGCTACTTGAGATCTATTCATTTATACTCAAGATCAAGTGCTGTACAAAGACTAATTTGACTGTAGGAGTATTGAACCTTTGTTCTCTTATAGGCCAACATTAATTTTGTAGTAACCATACATGATGTCACATCCATTTTTCAATATCAATATTCAGAGTAAAGATAATGGGAGATCTATCCTTTCTCCTATCCTCTATGCAGATGAACCTAGTGATAAAGAGTCCTCAAAACAGCCTCTATGCTCTGCATTACTTCGTATATCTCTTGATGAGGGAGAAAAGTGGTGCTTTGTCTGTAAAAATTTGTCGTCCATCGCGTGAAACTGATTCAACCTTCCAAGCAGGACCGAGAAGCCAAGATACAGCGGCTCCACCTATCAAGCCTCCTACCTGAAGTTTGGAACAAATGGGAAACGATCAAATTAGACCCAATAAAAATTCTACGACGGAATGAAGAATTTATAAACTTCAATACTATGGTAAAGAATGTCATAAAGAAATAATTGGAGCTAAAATGTTTCTTGACAGTTAATATTGATCACAACTTCCCTTGTTGGGTACTTCTGACGGACACTTGCATGAAGTCATAAAGTGCCACCCTACAAGGGATTGCATTCGTATGGTAATTTCTCTATTCACAGTTTTATCTCATAAATTAAGTGAAGTTATTCTAAAACAAGTTAGCACCCAGCCAGCAGTTTTAAGAGAATTGTAAATAAAAAGAGAACTAATTAAGAATTGTATGGGCATCTTTCTCGAAACACAAGAATAACATCATAGTTACGAAAGCAAGTCCATTAAAGAGAGTACTACACAATAAAAGTAAGTTAAATCATACTTACGTGACCCCAGTTATCAATGCCTTCAGATAGAAGTCCAAAAGCCTGCACGAGGAAGGTCATTTCATTCGTAGACAAAAGACAAGTAGTGAACATAACTACTGTAATTATAACTTCCAACCCAATAAACGTGTTACCAGCACCTCCAGATTCAAGCAGCTACCCAACATTATGTAGAATAGACCAAAAAAATTGATGATAAAAAGCCTAATCTGTGCCTAACGAATGAAATACGAGCAATGAGTGTAATCTGGAGACCTGGTTGAGGTCCTTAAGATGCACTATGGTTTGGATGTAGAGTATATGGTTTCAAAGTATTGATCACTTATTTAATTACAATAAAAATCCGTGATTTAAACTCTACATTATAGGGGTTGTGAATCTGAGAAATGTGAGTAGCATACCATATTCAACATGATCACTTGTGCTATATATTGTAGATGTCCCTCACTGCCTTTGACCATGCCCCTGTGCCTCAGGACAAACATAGTAAAAGATCCAACCTGATTGTGCCAACAAATTTAAGCAATTAAACACACATAGATGGGTGGAGAAACAAAGGATGCAGAAAAGACTGTTTCCTGGTCCTGAAAGTTCTGTAGGTTTTCATACAGCTTCTCATAACTGTATGAACCTTGTCTATTAAGTTTGTTTACTCAGTAAGTTGAGCTTCATCATTTAAATCAATAGAGTAAAGATTGATGTAAAGATGTTATGCGAAGAAACCAAGGCATGTATAAAATTGATGCACCTTTAGAAGATCTATACAGTTATTGAATATACAATTTGAGTTCAGAAGCTACTGCAAACATATACGTGGCTGGATAAATGATATATATTAAACTCATATCCTGGATAATAGAAGCCTTCTCTCCCCCACCTTTGACTCGGATTTGGTAACAGATATTTTAGTTATACATTAGTAATCAACTTAAAAAGTCAACAAAATTGGTAACTTCACAGTTCAAGAGCTTACTAATCCAAAAATAGCTCCTGATGCGCCAACAGCAGGTGCTTTGCTGAACCAATAACTCACTGCCGAACCTGATTTTCTTTATATGACTTAATCAGAACAATTCTGTACATTTTGAGATAAGAAATACATTGTCTATTGTAAATGATATCAGTGTTTACTTGCTACGGCAGAGGTGATGTATATCGTAAGGTATCTTCTAGGACCACATATTTTCTCTACAGCAGGACCAACAGAGTTTAAAGAATAACAATTGACCTGAAAAGGAAATTTCTTTTCAATAAACAGGTATAAAGTGTCGGACTAAACAAGCATTTAATTTGTAGTAATTCAAATCAAACCATCAGATGCACAATATTTGCATGCAGAAAGGATGATGTAGCTAGCCTCCACAACTGCCCTTCATTTATAAGACTATTGATCTACAAGGATACAGAACTCCATAAGAATTTATATAACAAAATTCTCAATATGAATGTAAAACTGTAGTACTGCAGTGTCAACCACATATTCAGACCTTTGCTCCCCAAAATAAGAGCTTGCCTTCTGTAAGGGTTTGTGCTATATATACTCTGCAAATAGATTCAGAGAAGAATTTGACTGCTAGAAAATCGGGGGCTCATAAACGGATAAATATGAGGAGAATGCATTCGAGAGCTCGTTTCTAGTTTATCTGTATGTTTTTTCTTCCTTCCATTTTCTCTTTATCAGAGCGTATGTGTAACTGTGTGTTTGGGGGGTGGGGTGGGGGGTTCTTTGGCAGGAGGAGTTAGAAGCAGCAGCATCGAGTTTCTGATACCAAAGGGAACTACTCATAAAGATGGTTTTCATTAAAAAAGGTTTGAAGAAGTGATACTCACAATACATTGGCTGCAAGAAGAATATTGGTCCACTGCCTTCCGTCAAATAAAACTCTTCTAGATGTGTTTGAGTATGACTTTCCAATATCTTTATGATCACTTCTAGTTTCATCTCCATTGAAGAAACATAAGCTCAAGAATGGCAAAGCACCGTGCCACCATTGAAAACCATTACGTACTGTAAATTGAAGTGGCTTTTTATACCATATATCCTTGAACTGAAGGACAACACCAAGACGAGAAATATTCTGTACAACATGCAAAATTAAAGTGTGATTCTTCTCAGTTTTAGCAATACAACGAACTGCTGATGCAAGGACAGAGTTAATGCCACAACAGTAACTATTAGTAGCTTCTCACGCCTTTGACAGTCACAATGGAGCAAAAAGAATATGAGTTTTTAGACCTCCGTGGATGATCAGTTCAATATTTAATGAACACCACCCACGCACACCTCAAATCTGAAAATATTCCACATTAATGTATAATCTAAGTCGACCAAAGCTCTAGTAATTTATAACAATTTTATCTGTAATACTAAGCTAATATTACCATGAATCGATTGATCAAAAGAATTATGAACTTTTATTTCGTGCACTACATGTAATAAGGGGTGGAAAACGACATTTTTTTCTGAAAATGTTCGCGTGGAGTACCTTGACGGATGGAGGGAGAAGGAACCCAAGTTGAAGGCAGCGGCTTTGGAGGACGGCGTTGCCGAGGCGGAGAGTGGCGGCGACTGTGATCAGTTGAATAGGTGTAGGGCCCACTATGGGATTGGGGATATAGAACTTTGGATGGGATGGAAATCCACACATTCCCTTTGACCTTCAATTTCACACACACACACAAATCCAAATACATGTACAAATACAGGACTCCAAATTCCACCCGAATTCTTCGGAAAAGAAGATTTTTATTACAGCGATTGACGTGTCCCAATTTTATTGGAGAAAAATAGAAATAAAGAAGAAAGGGGAAATTTTTTGAGAAAGTCAGAAAACCCTTTTTTTCCATTTCTTTTTCAATTATTTATTATTATTATTTTTTTTTAATAGGGATACTTTATAGTTTGGTTAAACCAAAATCATTGGGATAATACAATAAAACGTTAAAAAATTTAGAAAAATGATAGATTAAATTTTAAACCTACAAAGAAATATAATGCGATATTAGAAAATCGAGAAAGAAGAAGAAATTTAAAATTATATACACATACGATCACATGTTAGTTAAATTTAGATTGAATTGTCATGATTTCTTTTAAATATTTCTTGTTCAAGAACAATTAAAAAGAATTATATGTTTCAACTGCAACTGTTATGATCTTATAAACGACATTTTTCATATTTGAAACTTCTATTGCATTGCGTAAATTCTATTTCATCTTTAACATTTTCTTAAGTGTTTAATATAGAATCAAATATGAATACCATGAATGCAAATAAGGCACTTTACTTTTATTTTACATTTATTGTGGAAGAGTTTCGTAAGTTATTCCAGGTTAATCTTTTCTAAATAACTCTTCTAACGAGACAAAGTACTTTCTTTTACATATTCGTATTTAGATTAATTCAATATAATTCTTGAGAATACTCGATTCTTTTATGAGGACTTCTACCGTGAAATTCACGTGATGAGCAGTGTATAATCCATAGAAGAGTAGAAGAAAACTTACCTGCTAAAAATGCCATAAAATGTTTATCTAAGTATTAAGATATCATACACATATAGAGCGAGCGAGCGAACACGCTCTAGGGGATGAGCCAAGGGCGCCACATGAAGTTATCTGTCAAGTAGACGATTAGACTTTAACGTGATTTAATAAATTATTTACAATATGGGACTTACTGAAGATCTTTCTAATATTTTTATCTTTGAAACGAGGTGGTTGGTAGTATCTTACCTCCTTGAATTGCGGTATTAATCGTATTATCAAGAAAATTGAGACATAGATTAGCCCAATTCAACACCATTCCGAAAGGCCGCCTCAGAGAGAAAAACCGAGTCCATCTCCAGTTTTCACTATTCCCCGATTCATCACCACTTATTTCATTATAATTTTCTTCAAAGATATTACTATTATCATTTGATAATCCTTGCAATTCAAATCGACAAACAGGACAGCTATTGTGCCTTTGCAGCCATGGCAGAATGCATTCAGAGTGATAAAAATGTTTGCATGGCAGTTGTCTCACTTCTGTTCCAACCTCAAATTCATCCTTGCATATGGGACATTGTGAATCGTTGGCCAATTGGTCGGCCGTCAGTGCTACCATAGGCAGGGCATCCACGGCCGAATCAGGCGCCGGAGACGGCTCGGCCGGCATGTTGTTTTCAGTCAGTTGTTGGATGAGCTCGTTCGAGATCCTAGAATTTCCATGATAGAAAGTATACTTTGTTTATGACAGAAGATAGTATTGTCATCGGTTTAGGTGGGAGTGGAGCCCACTGCCACCTAATGATGAATAATCAAAAGAAAAAGTTGATCTACACTTACATATTTTCTTGAGGAGAAACAGGTCTTGGAAGATCAGGGCCTATAAATTGAAGCAACACATAAGCTTGGCGCCTTGCATGACTTCCGTCATCAAGATTTTGCTGTTGCCTGATTGGTGGATCAAGCATTTGAGCCAAGGAATCCAGTACCCTGGCCGCAGATGATGGTTCCAGTCGGTTGTCTAAGCCAAGTCTCGGCCTTGACACGTCGAGCTCGTACCCAACTTGTCCTAAACAACGAGGACACAATATTTCAGCTGGATTAGTGGTCGTGGTTCTTATACTTCGTTGGCAATGCCGACACCAATAGTAATGGTATGTTCTTAGTCTCTGGATTCCATTAACCATAACACGACCGCGATTGACCGTAATTGACATATTGATTAGTAGGAGAGTACGATATGATTTGAACACCAAATTCAGCGATTCCTGGTGGAAGAAGAACATATCTTGTGAGGTTTTATATGTAAATAGATTGTGAAGAGAAGAAAGAAAGGTATGGCTTTTCAAGAATTGAAAAGTTTGTTTTCTTGATTCTTCATATCTCCTCTATCTAAAGTAAAGGATGAGTGAGAAGAAAAGTGAAGGAAAAATCTCATTTGTTGCAATCCCTTTTCCTTTTCATTTATGGCAAGTCCATTCTTAAGATAACCTCTTTGCCTTTTCAACTTGAGCAAGTGCAATCCCTTGTCATTGAAACTTGATATGTGCACAATTTTAACAAATGAGTTAACGTAAGATTTGTTGTCAAGACCTTTGCTCATAATTGACTCAGCAGCTTTTATAACTAATTATGGCATAATCTCGTGTATTCGTTGTTTTGTTGGTGAAACTCAATGAATTGAAGTAAAATT